TGATTGTTTATCTTATGTTTTCTAATTGCTCTTTCTAACTGAGAGAAGAAATTTGATAATTAAAATTTTACCTTTTTTTTCCATTTAAAATAAATATTCGGAAGATTACTTTTCAAAATACTTTTAATTAAAACTACGTAGAACTTAGGTAAGTCATAGAAGATGAATAAATTGTACAACATTTTTATTTCTTTCTGAGAAAATACAGTGATAAAAAAAAATAAAATTTCTTGCTTTTTTTTATACACCTTTTGCTGCTGCTTTACCACGAAATGGCAAAGACAATAACACAGCAAACTTGGCAAAGAGATAGAGGAAAATTAGAGAATAATGAAAGAGTAGTAAAAGTGAAAAAAGAATTTTGCAGCATTTTTCATTCAGGTTATGCTCTCAATCTTTTTTTTTCTGCTCGCTAATCTGATATTTGATATTACTTCTTTTACTTCGGTTTCTCTGCGATTTACCTTTCCCAGTTTTGATCAGCCTTTAAGTCTCACAGCTATACCTTGCTGTTAGAATTACAGCACTTCGAGACCTTATCGACTGATTCAGAGTCAGTTTTCTGTACAGTCCTTCCTAAGCTGAGTTAAAAGTTTTTTCCCGCGTTCTCACCCATTACTTTAGCTTTACGGCACGATTTGCACTTATTTCTTGACAAGAATGATGTAGCTTTTCACTTCTTTAAAGTGTGCTTTATATATTTGTAGTGTTGATTAGATCGCTTAAAGCCTCATAATCCTCGCAGTTGTCTTGTTTTTTGGCTCTACTTCTTTGCTTGCCTTACTGAACTATTATAGCACTGTATGGTAACTATACTACAGATGAATTGACCGGAGGTTACACTAGTTATATAATCAACAGCCAACTAGACTACTCTCTGTAACCTTATGTATTACAGAAAAAGAACTAACAAATTTTGCAAAGATCGTCTGCTGCAAATGCACTACTCAGTTTATAGACAGTTTAGTGTTTTAAAAAAAGATCCAAATTTTTTAAGAAGAAGTTTATCTTGTTCATTTTCATCCTTCTCTATAGTCTTTACTTTTTGCTTAATTTATCTACCTTTATTCCAATTGAGCGCAACATTTTAAAAACTAAATGAAATGGACTATTTTTAATGTCTTGACAAAACAATTCATGGTTATCAAAATCAGATAAACCACACTTTCTGCTACTACATCTCTGTCTGCCAATTTTTAACTCATTTTTTGCCAGTTATTTGTTCAGAAAAAAATAATGAAGTATCATATACTTGTTAAACATATTTTTTGGCTACTAACAACAAAAAAAAAATATTTTCTTCCTCAAAAGACAAAAATTTGTGTTTTTGTATCCAAAATGGCGATGAATAGAACATGGGTTTTGCTAAAAAATTAGGGGACAGTAATGCTCGTTTCGACATTTTCAAAAAGAAAAAACATAAATTTATCATCTATTCAAGAATGAGTCTCACAGAGTTATTTAAAAATAGCAGAAGCAGCAGCAGTACAACAGTGACATCAAAAACAAAATGACACAACCTGTTTTCTGAACTCTAACCTTACTGTTTCACTGGTTAACGAGAATTAAGCAATAAGAAAGTACAAAAACTGCTGGGTGACGGCAACGATTGTTGCTTTCATAAAGAGCATTTTAGTTTTAGAAGACTAACAAGAGAACGAAAAAAAGAAAAATGTTAAAGAAAATTCAGATAAAGTAAAGAAAAAACAGAATAAACTGTTCAGATACATAACTTTGATGTGTCAGTAAAACGTCAAAAACCTATTTTTTTCCTTTCTTCTTCGTTAATTATTTTCAGTTCTCCAATTTTTCTTTGTAGTTTCCAACGCTTCGTTTTCTCCGCATCTAAGTTTGTCAGTAATCGTATGATTTTGTTTTATCAAAGTAGAAGAAAAAAATTTTTAATGCATTTCTTCGACCTACAGTTTATCAGAGAAATAAAAAAAATTTTTGTAACGTAATAATTTCTTTTTTTTTTTCTTTTATTTGAAAATACGCAAAAAACTTTTGGTTTTGATAAATAAAAGTTTAAGTAATTTCTCTCACTAAAGTAATGCCAAAAATGTCTGCAAAAACAATAAATACAAAAAAACTGGTTTATCAAGTTTATTTTTTTTTCTTAAAAAAAGTTTTACTTTTGTTCTGGAACGACTTACAGTTTAAAAACAATTTTCATTCTTTTAGTTTTTTCTTCTTTCTCTTTCCTACCTCTACATCTGCCGCTTTCCCAAAGATTTGAGAAAGCCATCGAACATGAAAAAATTATGGTCTAGATGACGCTCATTGAATCTTTTTTATAATCTGGCCGGGAAGCGAAGTTACCTAAAAGCTGTATGGCGTTTGAATCCTGTTTGTTGCTTAGACTTTGTTTATTGCTGAGAAAGGAAGGGTGGTTCCTCAATTCCTTCTCAGCTTTAAACAATCGTGATAGCAGTTTCTTACGGCAAAGCGAAACCGTAAAGAATGGAGAAAACAGACAGAAGGGTAATAAACATGAATTTGTTTTAGTCTTTATTTTTTCAAAAAAGAAAAATTAATGCTAAGAAGAAGTAGTAAAAAAAGAACAATATAATTTCTAATTTTTTTCTAAAGAGCCTCAAAAAACAGCTGTTTTGTCAGATTACAAAATTAAAAAACAAAAAAAAGGCCTAAGAAAAATGAACTTCTCTGTAGGGCCACAATGGACATTGCCAACAATCGTCAACAGCCGTAGAATTTTATATCTTTTTTTTTGTTTACTTAAATTCCGCTAGCTTTTTAGAATGTTTTTCAATATTTTGTAAAGCTTCTTAATTTGTAAATTCTGAAATTTCTATACTGCAAAATGTAAAACGTAATTTCTCAACTTGACTTATTGAACAATTATAGAATACACGACGGTCAAGAACTGGCACTAAAACAAAGTCTAAGACAATGTTAAAAAAAAACGGAAAAAAGTTGGTAACAATTTCAACAAAAAAAATTTTCTTGGAGATAGGAATTATTGTAAGCAGAAATTACTATTCCTTCAAAATAATATTTGAAAAAAAGCGGCCAGAATCAGAGTCCTAAACAGATTGAATAAAAGAAAACAACAACAACAGCAAAAGTAAAGTACAATTTCAGTTGAAATCAAAAGTATAATAGAACCCTCTCATGTACTTTCTGTCCTTTTTATATGCCAAATTTTACTGCTTCTGAAATGTGGAAACTACAGACAGTTTTAGTATATGTTTTGGTGTTCCATGAAACAATAGTAGCAGGTTTGTTGTTTCGTAAGCGAAAAAATCCCTACTTGTTAGACTCAATCAAATTTTAGTCGCAATCACTGACTTGCTTATTGTCATTGTTATTTTTTATCTTTAATTTTTTATATTTTAAACCGTCATTTCATATTGTTTTGCTGTATATTTTGCAGCGAAATTGTGGAAGTCAAATAATCGAACAACTGATACATAGGTGATCAATTGCTTGTTCAATATTTTGAACAACTATTTAATGGTAACGAAGAAATAAACTATTAATAATTCTCATCAAAATGGTGACTTAGAAACCTGTGAAATACAAAGATTTTTCTTGTTTTTAGCTGAATTTTTGCTGTTGGTTTTTTTTTTTTTGCAAAAATAGTGAGTGTTAACTTAACAGAGAGGCAATAAAAATTTATGCTGTTGTTCTGCGCAATTACATTCTTGAAGATTCAAAATCAGTCAGTGAAACAGGTTTTATTTGTTGAAAAAATGATATATATTCATTTCGTCTTATTTTCATGAAACACATTCAATAAAACCTGTCTAAGTTCAGCAAATAATTGCTAGCATTCTCCTGGATTTTCAGAAATATTAGAGTGCTTTTTACAGTATTCAGTCCCGCACTATTCCTCTTCGTTTAACACCTCTCTTCTTACTGGTTTCATTTGACCTTGTTTACAATCTTCCATTTAGGTTTACCCTTGTCTGGATTATCACTGAAACAATTCAAAAATTTAGTCATTGCTCTATAGTCCTATGATATAATCTATCTGTCATATTTTCATCTTCACAGTTATACACCCTTAATCATATGTTTGTCTCGTTCCCAACCAGTTCGATTTCTTGACCCTTTTTTTCCAGTTTCTTCTATAATGTCACTCTTTCTTATCACCTAGAAACTGTTGTCTGAGGAAAAGCTATTTCCTGTTAACCATTCATAGCAAAGAAAGACGATTTTCTGAATCCTTTCAGACCACTTCTTTCAAAATTGTTTAAATTATTTTTCACACTTTGAAGGATATCTTTTCAGACCCCAGAAGCCTGTAGACTTTGAGTCCTAAATTAAAAAGATATTTTTAAAATAGCGCTAACAGCAAAATCGATGAATATTAAACTTCCAAAAAATGGAATTTTTGCTAAACTCGATCATCTTTTAGAATATACAGTTCTGTTCCTGTTAACAAACAGCCTCCCTCAGGTTCAGAAAAGCATTGACATATTTAGGGTGGCAAAGTACACAACGAGCTCTCAATATCATACAAAGTTCAAAATATCGTATTACACTAATAACCTTTTGAATTGTTTTGAAAAACAAAAAAAAAAAACAGATTCAGAAAATATATCTTTTATAGTGAAGTTTTGAAATATGCTTTTAAAGATAATTAAGATAATAACTGAGGTGAAAAGAAAAAGGGATTGTCACTGAGAAGTATTTCGTAACACTTTCTGAAACAAAAGTTAATGCACGTGTATTTGATGCAAAAAGAAAAAAGACCAAAAAAGTCGAGTCGATGACCCCATCTTTAATTAATTACAAAAAAAGAGGTTATTTACCGAAGTTTAGATGCAAAAATTCTTTGCAATTACTAAAAACCATAAATTTAGGATGTTCTGCCAGCCAAGTAGAAGAGTATACCTTGTAAGCGAACAAGTGTCTAGCAGTTCCCGAATAAAATTCAACAGCGCTAACTTAGACCTCTTTTTTTCTATCAAGCACTGTACGAAACAGCTATAGCTGCAAATGATGAAGTGAAGACATGGGAAAGCAGAAATAATAATCCTGAAATAAATAATAATTCTAACACTGAATTAATCTTAAAATCAATTCTAAATTTGTATGATTGGTCATGCTCACAAAACAATTTCTTTACGTTCCATTAGCGCAAAAGACGCTTGTAGCTGTCTCGTAGTCATTTGAAAAACAATTTGACTTACAATGGCATGACGTTTTCAAAATGATTTTGTTAAATAAGTGGGCAAAATTGCCAAAGACCTGTTCAGTTCCATTTTGTAATAAAACAATTTTGCAGTCACCGACTGTTCAAACTATAGCATAATAATACAACAACGAGCAGAACTTTTAGGTGTTAGTTCCATTTTTAGATTTATACGGCAACAAAAAATAAGAATTGCCGACAAAGATGTCCTAAAAAAAAATCTTCTCCTCCTGTCAATAGCAACTTCAACAACTTTTAGACCTGCGACTCTCACAATTTTTTGACCTGTCGTCTCCTATAGACGACAAACTTGCCTTACCATTACCCGTACCAGACAACCAATTTTCTGGTTTTTTCCCAAAAATAAGCACCACTTTATGTTAAATGTTTACAAGACTGTTAATAAAGCAATAATATTATCTTAAAAAACTTTTACATAATCATCACTTCTACCATCAAAAAAAGTGAAATAGAAGCAGTAAATCAGCCTTCATAACAGTGAATTTAATACTGTAGATTTCTGTAACATTTTTCAAAATATACTGCTAAATTTCAAGCACTTCAAAGCTAAACTTCCTAATGGGATGCACAGATCAACATAAACGTGTCATTTTTTTTTGACAAAAACGAAAACACAGTTTTGAACTCCTTTTTCCACCACTATATCAAATCATCCAGCAATGCAGAATGTTAAATATTTGCTTCCATTTTAAACTTCTTTTTTAGCTCTCAAAACCAGTTCTAACTACAGTTTCATTAAAAACTTAAATAAAGTTTAAGCTTTCAGTTAAGTGCAACTGTTTCTCACTTATTCAGTCCAATTTTTACTGGTTAAATCAGATAAAACAAAACAAATAGCGGACAAAATTGAAAGATTTACCTCATCGAGAAGACCGCCACACAGTAGACAAATGTTATAAAAAAGTATTTCTTGAAATAAACAGAAAGAACCTTATTTTACTTCCTACATCAATTGCGGCGTTCAAAAGGAAGAAATTGGAAGCCAAAGAATGGCAAGCACCAAATACAGAAGACTATTCTACACAAATTCGTTCCTTCACAGATATTCCAAAAAGTGTCGTGTACTTGGTACGGTACTGGCGCGTTTTACTCGCTGTTCACCCCACAGTTTGACTGCCTTCCAGTCAACAATTAAAATTGCAACTTCTCAAACGCATTCAGCAGAAGTCTCTAGAAACACTGCCATAGGATAAGTGCGACAAAGAACCTTAACCCCAAAACGAACTCTCTTTATTTCTCAAACAGAGAAAATGACACTAGTTACGTAAACTAACTTTCAAAACATCAAATGAAAGTACGTAAACCGAAGGTAATATACTTATACTACAGCGAGAGCGAACTTTAACCAAGACCGCTGGAATTCCAGTCAACCCCCGTAACAATGATGACTCACATCTTGCGCAATAACTTCAATACGACAGACCGCAGAAAAACCAACGCATCTCTCCAAAAACCTACCTCTACCCTAACCGAAACAGGCCGGCTAAACACGACCAGCAACAAATGAACTCTCTCACTCAACTGGTTAGCAGCACTACCAGACCGCCGCAACAAAACTGAAACTAGTTTGGGAAGCCTTACTTAGAACAGCTTGGAAAACCAATGCGCTCCTTCACTTTAGAGACCTATTCGCATATAAAACAAGCCGTAACACCTCACAGAATACCAACAACTACAGATCTATATGGTCCCATAGCATATAACGGCTGCCTGAATAAAACAGTCAGAGAGGTGTAAAAATTGCGTTAACGAGATAAGTTTAATTAAGAAACAGTACCATTTAGAAGTTATATGTACATAAAACACGTCATACACAAAATTACGCATTACATGTAAAAGACCCTTGGAACACAAAATTAAGATAAAAATTCAACTAGTTAGAAATGCACAAAGTGTTAAATGACTGGTGAGATCATCTCTGTTAACAGCTGAAGAATTCTCAATTAATATGAGGTGAAAAATTGCAAAGTATGGTACAACAGAGTGTAAATGCTGAGAGAACTCAAGGGCTCAGCAGGACATCCATCGGAACGAAGAAGCTCAGGATATTACGAATAAGCATACCCGGAAAAAACACTACAGTCAATTTAAGCTCAAAACCAACAAGAGCCATATTTAATCACTCAGACAAAAATCATCATCACTTTCTATTTTCTTCCCTCGCCTTTTTTTAGTAATCACTTCAACATCTGAATCTTCCGAATAATCACCAAAGTTATATTTCGCTGGAGCACGCTTCCTTGTATTTTCCCGAATAGCCGGAATGTGTTCAACCTTCACGTCATCATCGCTATCACTGCTGTTTAAATCCTCTTGTGGCTTTTTAGATGAAGCCTTTAACAGACAGCGTGAAACAAAACGAGAAATGTTTCCTAATAAACAAAAGAGTAAGATATAAGAGAGTACCTTGCTAGCTTCAGATTTTTTAAAATAATTCATTATCGACTTTGACTGAGGCTTTTCTTTTTTGCTTCTCGATGTCGGTTTCTTTGGCTTTTCAGGCGCAGTTTTCTTCGGCAAGTCCTCCAACACCTCCAAAGAATCATCGCAACTCTGAAATAATATTTAAGCATCGAAAATAACAAAGGAAGCAATTTTTATCCTTTGCCGAAGCAGTTGTAGCAGTCCACAGATGGAATGTGTCTAAACAACTATAAAGCTGGTCCTTATTTGTGCTTCAGACGTGATGTCTGTCAGCATCGCATAAATATCCTTCATTGATGATAGTTGCTCCAAAACACTTTCTTTTCTAACCTAACAGGAACGCTTTTAATCAGATTAGCCAGCTTCAAGTACAAAATCGTCCACAAGTACTTTTGAAGAAGTCACTGTATCCATGATTTATGACAAGAAACTATTTCCAAGAAGAAATGCAAGGGAATGAGCTCATTGCCACTCCTTGCTATACCCTCAACTCTAATAAACGTTTCTCAATGCTCATTCCTCTTAAAAAAAAAAATAACTACAGATTTTCTGGCTTTTACTGAGTAACAAAACGCCTTTTATTTTTCTGTAAACTTTATGTCCTGAAGAGCAAAACTATTACGAAAAATGAGCGAGTATAGGCGGGATAAAAGAAAGGATTTCACACTACCGTAAGCAAGTAAAATTCTATTAACAACCTCAACTTCCTGAACCTCAAGATCATCGTCGTCGTCATCTACAACAAAATCATCTAAATCATCATCATTTTCTTCACTACTTGAGTTCCATTCATCTTTCTTCTTTTTTTGCCTTTTAAGCCCTCCTGCGCCACCAGCTAAACAATTGG